TCTACCACTTGAGCCACAGCGCCACTTCCGGCTTTTTTTTTCTTTTTGCTTATGTGGTGCTGAGGAATCGAACCCAGGGCCTCATGCATTGCAAAGCAAGCGCTCTACCGCTGAGCCACCTTCCCAGCCCGTGAGAGGCTTCTTATCTCCAACTAACCAGCAAAAGCTGAAAGTGGAAGTGTGGCTCAAGTGATAGAGTACCAGCCTTGAGCAAAGATGACAAGCAAAAGAAGTTCTGAAGTCAAGCAAAAGAATGAAAAAAAAGAAAGAGAGAGAGAGAAAGAAAAAAGGGAGGGAGGAAGGGAAGGAGGGAGGGAGGGAAAGAGTGAGTGAGGGAAGGAAGGAAGGAAGGGGAGAGAGAGTAGGAGGGAGGGAGAGAGGGAGGGGAGTAAGGAAGGAAGAAAGGAAGGAAGGAGAGAAAGAAACAAAGAAAAGAAAGGAAACAGATAAAGAAGAAAGTCTGAACAATCCATGCAAATCTGAGAATAACTTGCTTATCCTCATGGCATTTTCTATTTTTGTTGTTTGTGCTAGTCCTGGGGCTTGAACCTGGACACTGTCCTTTAGCTTTTTCACTCAAGGCTGGAACTCTCTACCACTTAAGCCACAGATCCACTTCTCTGTGTGTGTGTGTGTGTGTGTGTGTGTGGTTTATTGGAGATAAGAGACTCATGGGCTTTCCTACTAGGGATGGCTTTGAACTGTGACCCTTGGATCTCAACCTCCAGAATAGCTAGGATTACAGGTGTAAGCCATCAGTGTCCAATGTCATTTTCTACTTGAACTGAAAATTTGCATGGTTTTCCATCACACTTCCCCTGAGTAGCATTCTCAAGAGTTCCACATCTTAGAGAAGAAACCTACTGATTCATCTCACCATAAAGTGCGTGGGCCTCCAACAGTTGAGACACAAGACCCAATTCCAGATGTGCAGCCACTACATGGAGATTGGTAAGGAACTTTGCAAGAAGGCCATGGTTCCCGCTTTGGAGCTGGAAAGGTCAGATTAGATTCATTAGGTGATGGGGCTGTAGTCCAGTGGTAGAGTGCTTGCCTAGCATGTACAAGGCCCTGGGTTCCAAAAATGTCTCTAGACTCATTAGGGATGTGAAAGGGACTGAGGATTTTTCTTCCAAGTCCTGTGTAGCTAGGACCTAGGCCCTGGAGCTGGGACAAAAAAAAACTGAAAAAGGAGCTCAAAGAAACAAGAGAAGCCGGGCACCGGTGGCTCATGCCTGTAATCCTAGCTACTCAGGAGGCTGAGATCTGAGGATCACAGTTCAAAGCCAGCCCAGGCAGGAAAGTCTGTGAGACTCTTATCTCCAATAAACCACTAGAAAACTGGAAGTGGTGCTGTGGCTCAAGCAGCAGAGCGCTCACCTTGAGCTGAAGAGTACAGGGACAGCGCCCAAGCCCAGAGTTCAAGCCCCACAATGGACCAAAAAAAAAAAAAAAAGAAAAGAAATTGAAGAGAGAATGGTAAGGGGAGCAGTGAGAATGGTAATGGCAGTGATGATGGTGGGAGTGGTAAAGTAGAAAGAGGGCAAAAATCATCATAGAGGTTGTTTGGGAAAAGGTGTCTATTACTGGATGCGGGTAGTTCACACCTATAATCTTAACAACTCAGGACACTAAGATCTAAGGATTGCAGTTTGAAGCCAGCCCAGGAAAGAAAGTCTATGAGACTCCTAACTACAGTCAATCAGCAAAAAGCCAGAAGTAGGGCTGGGAAGGTGGCTCAGTGGTAGAACGCTTGCCTTGCATGCCTGAGGCCCTGGGTTTGATTCCTCAGCACCACATAAGCAAAAAGAAAAAAGCAGGAAGTGGCCCTGTGACTCAAGTGGTAGAGCGCTAGCCTTGAGCTGAAGGATAGCACCCAGGCCCAGAGTTCAGGCCCCACAACCAGACCAAAACAAAAAAAAAACAAAAAAACACCAGAAGTACAAGTATGACTCAAGTGTAGAGCACCAGCCTAAAGCAAAAAAGCTAAGGGACAGCATCCAGGCCCTGAGTTCAAGCTCCAGTACTGACACAAAAAAGAAGAGAAAAGAGGGGAGGAGAAAGGAGGGGAGGGAGAGGGAGAGATCTATGGGATCCAGAGACTAACCAGGTGGTAAGGCAGGTCTCTTAGAGCCTCAGGAGGGCAACTTCGGAAGGTGCCTGAGGAATCAGGATCACAGGTCTTCCAGAGCTGAGCTACAAACAGACATTAAGAAGGGTTCAGTCCATGGGGCTGGGAAGGTGGCTCAGTGGTAGAGCGCTTGCCTTGCATGCATGAGGCCCTGGCTTCGATTCCTCAGCACCACATAAGCAAAAAGAAAAAACCAGGAAGTGGCACTGTGGCTCAAGTGGTAGAGTGCTAGCCTTGAGCTGAAGAGCTGAGGGATAGCACCCAGGCCCAGAGTTCAGGCCCTAAGACTGGACCAAAAAGGAAGAAGGGTTCAGTCCTGCAGCAGCCCAGATCACATCCCCTATTGCTATAGCTGTCATCTACCCACTAGAGTAGTATGGTGAGGTGGCCAGCTGATGCAGGGGTGGGGGTGGGGGTAAATAGTAGATGGTTCAAACCTCCAGATCTAGTCTTATTCTCAATGTCCAGGCTGAACTGGGCTGCAGTCACCTGCAATGAGGATGTTTGCTGTGTTCTTTAAACGTGGTCTCTTCCCATAGCGACGCTTAGCTGCTGTCCTCAGGGGACCATCAGGGAGGCAGAGGCGGGTGCCAGGCCGCTCCAAAGGGCCTTCCCCTAGCAAACTGTCCTCAAGAGAGAAGAGGAAAAGAAGAACAGGGGAGGAGGGGGCAGAATCTGTCAATGGCATCTGGCACTCAAATTTCAGTAAATCAGTAAGCAATCCAGTGAAGAGATGGGAGGCAGATAGTAGGGCTAGACCAATGGAAGGACTAGAAAAAGTACCGTGTGGGACCCTGACTCAAAGATGGGAAGGCATAATGAGCTCAATAGGAGCTCAGCTGGAAGCTGCTATACCTGCGCAGACTCTGGACAAGGTAGGTGAAAGGAGCCATGGGGTAGGGATCTCCACTGTTACCAGCAGTCACTGCTTCCTCCCAGCTATTAGTCCCCTTAGGTAGAATCTTCCATGCACTTAGCACTGCATGCAGCTGGTCCACAGTCAGACCTGAAAACCCAAGTTCTTTGAAGTCCAAATCAAACCACCTAATGGCATCCACTTGCCACTTGATCCCTCCTTGCCCTTCTGGCTGTGATTCCACCTGATCAAAGATCATCCAACCTGAGCCCTCAGCGTCCCATCCTTTTCCAACCACTGACCACTACGTGTGACCTCCAGGGTGGCAAAGGCTTGGGGAAGGACATTGTGACCATGCTCTTCTTCCAAGGTGTTCAGGATGTACTGAAGCAGCAGGGGGAGCGTGGCTGGCAGGGCCCGCAGTCTCTCAGACACCTGGAAGAAGGAGGCCAGGCTTCAGCAGCAGGAAGAACAGTGATAAAGAAAGAAAGGTAAAGGAAAACAGGTAGAGACAGGTACTGGCAGCTCATACCTATAATCCTAGCTTTTAAGAAGCCTGAGATCTGAAGATCAAGGTTCAAAGCTAGCTTAGCTAGAAAAGTCCATGAGACTCTTATCTCCAATTAACCACCAAAATATCAGAAGTAGAGCTGTGGCTCAAGTGATAGGACACCATCTTTGATGAAAAAAGCTAAGAGAGAGTACTAGGATGTGATTCATGGCTCAATACTAGTGGGGGGAAAAAAAGAAAACAACCCACTGGTAGGAAAAATATAGTGGCAGTAATGAGGTAACAATGAGGAAAGGGGAAGTACAGATGGGAAACAATGAGAGGTAAGATCAGCGAAGGAGTCCAGGACACTGGATAGAGAACAGAAGTGTGTTAGGATTTAGAGGATGAGGCCCAACAACCTGTTCATAGTGTGTGAAAAGCCTCAGGTGATCGGTGACCAGGTGCAGGTAGAGTGGCAGAGCTGAGCCCTGCTTCACCAGCAGCAGCCGCATCTAATGAGAATCAAAGGAGTTAGTGTGAGACCAGGAAGCCTACCATACCCTATCTGCCTATGCCCCCTCCCAAAGCTAATTACAATAGGCTCCTAATCTCAGACTCAAGTCTAAGCACCAGCTCAGGATACAATCACCACACCCGTTTTCCATACAGTTTTCTGTCATCGAAACTAGGATTCAGTCTAGCCCACTGCAGCCAGCAGTTTTCCTGGTCCCTTTACAAGCCCCAGAGAAGCTGTTCATCATAGGAAAATGTCTGGATGATCTTCTAAGAAATAACAATTATTAACAAATGCCCTTGTTTGCTGTTGTTGTTTTTGAGATAGGGGAGTTAACCGGGGCTTGTATTCAGGACCTGGGTGCTATCCCTAAGCTTTTTTACTCTACCACCTGAGCATTTCCCCTACTACCGGCTTTTTGCTGGTTAATTGGAGATAAGAGTCTCACAGACTTTCCTGCCTGGGCTGGCTTTGAAATTCAAACCTCAGATCTTCAGCCTCCTGAGTAGCTAGGATTACTACTTTAGGATTGATTGCCCTTGGTACTTGAGAGAATAAAAGAGATTTCCATATAGGATGGCTGGCAGTCTCCACACTTATGCCCTCATGCCTCCAAGATTCACCCCTACATACCCACCAGCCCATGTAGGTCAAACCTGGTTGTTAAAAGGTGACTCCTCCAGCCGCTTCCCATATAGTGCGAGCTCTTCTCTCACCAGCTGGGCCCGGGTAGATGGAGCCACAGGGCCCAGGGCCACTACATGGGCACCTTGGCTCTGCTCAAGGGTCTCTCCCAGGACTGAGTCAGCTGACACACTCAGTACCAGATGTACCCACTATGATATTTGAGCAAAGGATCAGGGGTAGAAAAAACAAAACAGAGAACATTGTTAAAGAAGTCTTCTACTCCTTATGGCATCCTTCCTTCTCTCCAACCTGTCTTCCATGCCCACTTTCAAAAACCACTCACCCGAGGAAGGGACTTTGGGATCCAGTCTGAGATCAGCTGCCCATTCTGATCTACCAATCTGTCAGCCCCATCAATAATGAGGACCAGGGACTGGCCAGGTTGTAAGAACTGAGTAGAGTTGGGCAGCAGCCTCTGGTGCAGCTCCCATAGCAGGCCTCTGTGTATGGAGGGGAGTTCAGGGTCAGTGAGAGAAGGAGATGCAGCAATGAGTCTAGCTAACTGTAAGGTACACACCGGTAAGTGCTGGGAAGGGCACTGGGCTCTTGCAACTTTCTATGCAGATGGGAACAGAGGCGCCTGAGCAAGTTGACAGCAAGACTCTGATCAGGTCGAGCCGCTGCAAAGTGAAAAAAGACCAAGGGAGTCACCTTGGCCTGATGAGCAGTCTGCAGGGCTGACACAAGGGAGGCCTACAAGGGATAGGAACAAAAACACAGTCATGATTTCTTATATATACAAGCTCCCTGTTCCAGCTCCATAGCCCACACACAGCCTCCCCACCTGCCAAGGCCTCTGAGACTTATACCAAGAAGGCAGTTTTGCCTTGTCCTGACTTCCCAGTCACCAAGCTCAGTCTCCCATGGCATAGCAATAGCTGTTGTACTGTGTCCTGAAGAAGGCGTGGTCGGGCAGGACTCAGTGGGTTCTTCAACTGTTGGAAGGTGGCTTGGATCAAGTCATCATCTGGGATGGATACTTGCTGTTCTAGCTGGGTTCTGGGCTGAGGGAATACATGACACTGACTGTCCATGCTTCTAGGTTCCCAAAAATCCTTCCTTACAGAGCCCTCATCAATTCACTTCCCACCCAGGACTTCTGACCACTTTACATTCCTCTGGACATTAGCACTCCTGCTGACCTGTACATAAAGCTTCTGGATCATATTCCACACATCCTGAAGAACCAACTGTCCAAACTCCTCCAGTCCCCCAACATAGGGCCGGCCAGCTGCCACGCCCCCCCATTCACAGGAGTATCTGCAGACAAAGCAAGCTCAGAGAGTCATCAGGCCTGTCTTCCTTCACCACATCTCTATCCTGGTGCTCCCTACTTCCCCCAGCTCACCTTCGGCAGGTAATCTCTTTTTGTCTTCTTAGGTAGCTCTTCAGTTCTGAGATCCGGTGTGAAGCCTCTTCAGACTCAGAAACAAAGTCAGATCTCCAGGCATCTGGCACAGAACTTACCACCAAAGATAGTCAAAGAATGAGCCAGATTCAAAGCCCAGCCTCCCACAACAACCCGTGAGACATGGTTATGATTCCCTGGAGCTTCTCAAGAGGAGCTTTCTTGACTTTAGCTCCAAGGCAACTTGAGGATGCAAGGACATATTCCCTGAGTCCTGTTCTTTCTTTTTCTTTTGTGCTGGTACTGAGGCTTGAACTCAAGGCCTCTAGCTCTTGTTTTACTTTTTTCCTCTCTCAAGGCTGGCACTCTACCACTTGAGCCACATCTCCACTTTTAGCTTTTTGCTAGTTCACTGGAGATGAGAGTCTTACAAACTTTTCTGCCTGGGCTGGCTTCAAACTGTGATTCTTAGAGCTCAGCCTCCTGAGTAACTAGGATTACAGGCATGAGTCTTTTCTTTCTTTTAGCTAACCTATATTTGGCATTTTGACAGAGAAGATTCCACCTGTTTGGCCTTCTGGCCCTGGAGGCAAAAAGAAGTACCTTAGGAAACTGGGATCCCGAAAGTAGATGAGAGCTTGGGCAGAGGTCTGCAGACACTGGTCTCGATTCAGGAACTGCATTACCTCCATCTCTGTCACAGAGCGCCCTGAAGGGTATTGCTGGGTCTGCAGGGAAAGGGTAGAGGAAGGCAGCCTAGGCCATGCTAGTCTGCTTCTTGACATCAGCAAAACCCCAAGGCTCCCTCATCTCAGGTTCCTCCCTCCAGACACAAGCAACAAAATATAGTGAGTAGTTAACATTTTATTGGATGCTTGCTATCTCTCTAACTAACTAACTAACTAACTAACTAACTATATATATATATATATAGAGAGAGAGAGAGAGAGAGAGAGAGACAAATATATATATATATATATATATATATATATATATATATATAGACAAACAACAATAATGTTATTTTGTTTTGTGGTACTGGAACTGAATCTGGAACCTCATACATGCTAGACAGACACTCTATCACTGCCCTACATCCCAGTTCCTTTTAAGATAAGCTAGACAAGTTCCCCCAGACTAGCCTCAAACTTGCAATTCTCTTGCCTTAGCCTTCTGAGCAGCTGAGATTACCACACCCAGCAAAGTAGATTTTAACACTCACAATAGCCCTGCAATGTAGATGTTCTTGCTTCTGTTCAATATGTGGAAGTTAAGAACAGGTTCAATTAAGCTGCTTTCCAAAAAGCCAAAGGGGGCACAAATGCCCCAAAGAGAGTTGGAGACCATATCTGTTGGATGGCAATGCCTGAAGAGCACTGCTCTCACACTTCATATCCCTCAGCCAAAGACAGAGGTGTTTCTTATTCTGCTTGTATTTCACTTCAAGTCTCAAGGCGCTGCCTGTGCACAATCTCAGAGCTCCTGACAGTCTATGTTTTTTTCCCATCCCTGTTTCTTCCCAGCCCATCTGCCTTACCCAGTGGAAGTGAAGATGGTCAGGAAGGTTGTAATTAGGGGGAACGTAGCCATAGCGGGAGCCCAGAATCCCCACAAACAGCTGCGAGTTCTCCACCTCCCCAAGGCACACTTCCAATTGTCTACAGATACAGTTGGGAGACATTGAGGAGTCATTAAGGCAGGGATTCTGGCTCACAGTAAGCAGACAGAAGGAAGTTTGCTTTTGTTTAATTTTATATATTGAATTTAGGGCCTAGGCGCTGTCTCTAAGAGTTTTTGTTCAAGTCTGGTGCTCTGCCTCTTGAGCTACAGCTCTAATTCCATATTTGTTCTGGTTAATTGGAAATAAGAGTCTCATTAGCTTTTTGTGCTCAGGCTGGCTTTGAGCCTTGATCCTCAGATCTCAGGCTCCTAAGTGGCTACCAGCACCCAACTAGGCTGCTCTTGTTGACATCCTTACCTTTATGCCCAACTGTGCCTACCTCAGTTCCTACACTCAAGCCCTTCATTCCAGTCCTCTTCCCTGTAGCTGCCACACCTGTTCCTATGGGTCTCCTCCTCTGTGATGCCCCAGCGCAGGTCGATGGCATGAAGGCTGATGCGGTGAGGGGCTGCTCGAGCCTGAAGGGCTGGCAGCACAGACCTCAGCAGCAGGTCCCGCTCTCCATGCATGTCCCGGAAAGTGGAAGAAATGAAAATCCGGATGTTGTGCCATCTAGGGATAGATAGAAAACTGAATTCAGCCTAGAGATTCATGTGAGCTCAGTCCACTAAAATTAACAGCTATTACAAGGAACATGCATCAGAACTGAGCCTCATCCCTGAACAGACAACAGAAGGACATCCTCTCAGGGACTGGTGGCTCATGCCTCTAATCCTAACTACACAGGAGGCTGGGATCTGAGGGTCACAGTTTGAAGCCAGCCTGAGCAGGAAAGTCTGTGAGACTCATATAAACTATTGAGAAAAATCTGGAAGTGGTGCTATGGCTCAAGTGGTAGAATGCTAGCCCTGAGCAAAAGAGGCTCAGGGACAGTACCCAAGCCCTAACTTCAAGCCTTAGTATGGAGGGTGAGGTGAAGGCATGCCTACAGAGCTCCAAAGAAAAACATTACTATCTCAACTGCAAAACCCTGCAATTTAAGCCTCCATTTTCCATTATTTTTTTTCTTTTTTTTCTTATGTCCATAATAAGACTTGAACTCAGGGCCTTAAGTTTTATTGCTCAAGACTGGCACTTTACCACTTGAACCACAGCTCCATTTCTGGCTTTTCTTTTTTTTTATTTTTTCATTGTTATTATAGGTGATATACAGAGGGATCAAAGTTAGATAAATAAGGTGAAAAAATAAATTTCTTTTTGGAAATGTCATCCTTTCCCTCACTTACCTCTGGCTTTTTTTGAATAATTGAAGATTAAAGTCTCTCAGACTTTTCTGCCTAGACTGTCTTCGAACCATGATCCTCAGATCTCAGCCTTTTTTTTTGTCAGGCATGGGGCTTGAACACAGGGCCTGGGCACTATTCCTGAGCTCTTTTGCTTAAGGCTAGCGCTCTACTACTTTGAGATACAGCATCATTTCCGCTTTTCATAGACTTTCCTGTCTATGCTGGCTTTGAACTGTGATCCTCAGATCTCAGTCTCCCGGAGTTGCTAGGATTACATGCAGGAGCTGCTGGAGACTGGCTCAATCTCTGGGCCTCTTGAGTAGCTAGGATTATAGGCATGAGCCAGAAGTGTCCGGCTTGCTATTTCTCTTGCACCCCTGATTGTTCAGCTAAACATTATTCTAAACTTCCTACCTGTTCGTTGCAACACTGTGAGGTAAACGCCATCATCTTTTATCCAGTAAGAAAATACATTATGTTGGGCTCCAGTGGCTCACACATGTGATTGTAGGTACTCAAGAGGCTGACATTTGAACATCAAGGTTCAAAGTCAGGATTACAGATGTGTAATCTGAGGATTATACTTGAGCCACTGGCTCCTGCAAAAGGACTTTTTAAGGCAAGACAAGTAACACATGACATTTTCTCTCTCAGAAAGTGACTTGGTACACTGATTGAAAAACAAAAAACAAACAAGAAACCAGGCTTCTACCTGTAATCCCAGCTACTCAAGAGGCTGAGATCTGAGAATCACAGTTCAAAGCCAACCCTGGAAGGAAAGTCTGCAAGACTCTTATCTCTAATTAACCACCAAAAGCCAGAAGAGGAGCTGTGGCTCAGGTGGTAGAGTGTCAACCTTGAATAAAAGAGCTAAATAAGAGCTCATGGCCCTGAGTTCAAACCCTAGTATTGGCACGCACAGAAAAATTAAGCAACTGAGGACTAGGGGGCATAATCCAAAAGACAGAGATCTTGCCTAAGTTCAAAACTCATATCACAGAAAGAAAAAAAAAAGGAAGGAAGGAAGGAAGGAAAGAAGGAGAAAAAGAAAGGAAATTAAGTAACTAGACTACAGTTTGAGCTACCACTGGCAAAGCCAGCATAATAAAGCCATAGCCTGTGCTCCTAAACCCTTTGCCTAATCCCTACTTTTATGGTCAAGGAACCTGCTGTTCTCTCTGTACTATGACCTCCTTTTCTTAGTAGGGCAAGGAGCAGGTTCATGATTTGACAATCCCTGGCGCTAGAGGAGGCCCCTCCTTAGGAAGGAGCAAAGTTGCCATCTTGATAACGAGAGCCACAATTTCACCAGGACTGAAACCTTCGCCATTCACAAAGGCACAGAAAACTGGACTGACCTATGTTGGGAAATAGGAGCCATAAGGCCTGGGATATCTTCTTCCAGTGGCTGGAGAGTCAGAACCTGTGTTTTTCCTGGAGGTGGTGGAATCTTGAATATTCTATCCATTTGATCCACATGTTCCAGAAGATGAGAGGCCCCATGTTCTGCAATGAACCTAACATAAACAGGAACAAAATCATAATAATCAGGAAGATCTTGGACGAAAAACAGAGCAAAGATATGGCCAGATTCCCAGATTCTCTCATATGTGGAAGCTACATCTAAAATACACTGGGACATGATAAATTATACAGGACTCCAGGCATTCACACACAGTGATACCAGAGGAGGACATTCTTAGGGGAGGAACACAAAGGCACAATGCCTTATGTGCCTCTGATCATATAAAATAATACTTATTCAAATGAAGTCATGGAAATGGAAACAAGAGGTTTTGTCTTTGTTGTTTTTGTTTCCTTTTTGTCTTGTTTATTCACTTATATGTCTTTGAGAGGGGGCACAAAATGGAGGGACAAATGGTAAACAAATGCAGTAGTGGTACTCTATGTAGAAAATGAACTATACAACTTGTGGATGGAGACAGAAGGAAAAAACTGGGTGAGAGCAAGGGAAGGGGGGTACATTGTGCAAAAAGAAAGGTGTTCATTATCTGACTTCTGTAAATGTAACCCTTCTGCATATCCCTTTACAATAACCAAAAAAAGTTTTTAAGATTGTGGCCAGGTAAGAACACTAAGTTAACTGGACCACCTTAAAAAGATGACCATAAAAATAAATAAAAGGTGGGGCTTAGTGGCAGAGTGCTTGCCTAGCATGCAGGGAGCCCTGGGTTAGATTGCTTAGTACCACATACACAGAAAAAGCTGGAAGTGGCACTTTGGCTCAAGTGGTAGAGTGCTAGCCTTGAGCAAAAGAAGCTCAGGGATAACACCAAGGCCCTGAGTTCAAGCCCCAGGAATGGCAAAAAGAAAGAAAGAAAGAAAGAAAGAAAGAA